AAAGAGAGAATCCCAAGCAGGCTCCACACTGCCAGCACAGAGCCCAAGGGGGGGCCTGAGCCCACAAACCTTTGGATCATGACGAGCCAAAATCTGGAGTCAGACACTTAACTGACTGAGCCGCTCAGCCCCCCCCCCCCTTTCTTTCCTTTTTCTGTAAGCTCTAGGCCCAACATGGGGCTTGAACTCATGACCCAAGATCAAAGGTCTCATGCTCTACTGACTGATCTAAAAGTCCCAGCCAGGGGCCTTTGCTCACACAAACCTTGTACAGGAATGTTCTTAGAAGCTTTATTGGTGATGGCAAAATACTGGAAACAACTCACATGTCTTTCAAAGGGTGAACGATTGAACCAACTCCCGTACTTCCACAAACGGAACACCACTCAGCAAGAGAAAGGAATGAACTATTAATCCATGCAACAACCCGGATGGACCTCAAGGACATTATGTTTAGTGAAAAAGTCAATCTCCAAAAGTCCTATACCATATGATTCCATTTATATAGAACTCTGGAAAATGCCAACTACAGTGACAGAAGGGAGTGGGAAGAGATGGGGAGGTGGGGCTACGGGGAGTGGGGGATAGAGGCAGCCGGTGTACCGAATTCCAATACACCACTAGGGTTAAGGTGACTTGGTTTCCAGCACTGCTCTGCCTGAAAATTCATAATGGGAACTGAGTAAATAATTGTACTCAGTTGTACTCAGTTCTTTTCCTTCTCGGTTGCGTTTTTAAAAAAAAAAAAAAAAAAACTTTTAGGTTTAAAAACTATAGGTTATATATAGGTTAAAAAACTCGAGTTCCTTTCCTCTTTGAAAACCCGTGACTCTCAATAGGACTGATCACGTGAATTGTAAGATAGGTAACCTCCTCCTCACTGTAACAGAAAAATCCACAACAAGAAACTGGACCTAACCTAAGAAAGCATAGACCCCAAATCACGATTTAACTGTAAACTCCTACTACACGCGATCCTGGCATTCCCTAAGCTTCCACTTACTTTCAACACAGAAGAAATTCAGTCTCCGTAGAGACTGTCAAAAATTGCCAATGCCGACTATATTTCAAGTCGTCATGGCGGGGTATTGGGAAAAGTTTTCAATTAGCAATAATCGCGCCTCGGATAAACCTCATTGGCTACGATACTGCCACTGCGCAAAGCTGGAGAACGTGAGCACGCACCCTGCTCCCCCACAGATGACAACTCCCTTTACAGTGAGGGTGAGCGGCTGCCGGCGAATTCGTGTATATGATGTGTTCTGCTTGCAGCTGTCACATTTAGGGCCGGTCTGCACGGGAGGCTCACTGTCGTTGGATGGACTCATGTCGAATACCCAGATTTTGGAAGAGAGCGTGCGTTCGCTAGGGATGCTGGGTAACCTTATGCAAATCACCATGACATCACAGGGATGACCAGGTTAGACTTGAATTTTGAGGAAAAAACGGAGCAGCGGGAAGACGGGGAAAACCAGAGCGAAACAAAAAAGGACAAGTAGCAACCTACTGAGGGAACAAGAGTCATAAGCAGACTTTCTCGGACAATCCCGAACAAACTGGCAAAAGCAATAGAAAAAAACTGCAGCCTGTAAAACAAAAATAAAATCAAGGAAAAGTATCTAACTGCTGACACTCCACGAAGCTAAGCCGGGTTGGGTTCTCCCAAAAAGAGAAGAGACGAGAACCTGACTTAAAAAAAGTGAAGGCGCCTAAACCTATCAAGATAATACAAAACTCCTGTTTTTTCAAACTGATATATTCAGTCTCCGTAGAGACTGTCAAAAATTGCCAATGCCGACTATATTTCAAGTCGTCACGGCGGGGTATTGGGAAAAGTTTTCAATTAGCAATAATCGCGCCTCGGATAAACCTCATTGGCTACGATACTGCCACTGCGCAAAGCTACCGGACACCGCCCCCTACTCATCACCCCCAATAGACAAGCTTCCTATTACAAAAAAGTGATTTTGAGTCTCACGGAAAAACTATCAATTATTCTTTGGTTGAAAATTATACAGACATATGAAGATCTCTTGAAAATGTCTGAGCTGTTTCTCAGGATTCCATTTCTTGATTTCACCTAACTAAGCTTTGATGGAGTCTGAAGCAAAGCATTATGGGAGGAAATATGCTAATAACTTAATTCATAGAATGAGTTGGGGCAGATGAAAAATGGGCTGTATCAGCATGCTATTCCCTTGGCTCCCGGTTCACAGAGAAACTATCTTCTCCAAAATAGTGTTTTTAAAAAAATTGTGGTAAACTGTACCTAATATAAAATGTACCATTTTAACCATTTAACATCCCTCCCCATTTCTCTTTCTCCCAGCCCCTAGGAACTTCTACTTTCTGTCTCCATGAATTTGACTTCAGTAAGTACCTCATATAAGCGAAATCATACAATATTTGGCTTTTTTTAAAAGTTCATTTATTTAAATAATATCTACACCCAAGTTGGGATCTCAGGACCACGTGATCAAGAGTTGCATGCTCTTCTGACTGAGACTCCCAGGCACCTGTCTGACTTATTTCACGTTTTAAGGTCTATCCACGTTGTAGTATATATATCAGAATTTCATTCCTCTTTTTGGCTAATATTCTTTTGTATGGAATTTTATTATCCATCTATTATTCTATGAATCTGCTTTGTTTCCACCTTTTGGCTCTTGTGAATAATCCTTCTACAAACAGTGGCATACAAATATCCATTTGAATCCTTGTTTTCAATTTGTTTCTGTATATGGTTGGAAGTGGAATTTCTGGGTCATACAATAATTCTTTTTTTAAGTAATTCTTTTTTAATCCCAAAGTGTTTTCTGCTGGACACCTTAATTCAGAGGAGATAGCCTGGAAAAGGCTATTTTCATAGAAATGTCCACAGTTCACAAAGTTTGAGGTAACTCTCACTCCCACTGCCTGTTTTTCCCTGGCAAGTGGAAAGCTGTCACAAACCTATATCTGGACTTCTATCGTCCTTGAACTATATTCTCCAAAACACCTTTGGTTTTTGCTACTCATTAAGATGCAAATAGTCTCTAAGAAAGTGACATTTCCCCCAACATTTTATTATAAATTAAAAAAAAAAATTCAAACATGAGAGGCGCCTGTCCGGCTCAGTTGGTGGAGCATGCTATTCTTGAACTGGGGGTTATAATTTCCAGCCCTGGGTTGGGTGTAGAGATCAGTTATTTTTGAGAAAGAGAGAAAGTGTGTGTGTGCACTTGCACAAGTGGGGAGAGGGGCAGAAAGAGAGGGAGAGGGAGAGAGAGAGAGAGAGAGAGAGAGAGAGAATCCCAAGCAGGCTCTGTACTGAAGCTAACTTGATCTCACAGTTTGGTTCCTGAGATCATGACCTGAACAGATATCAAGAGGCAGAAGCTTAACTTGCTGAGCCACCCAGGCGCCCCTAAAATCTTTAAAAGAAATTCAAACATGAAATGTTCAAAATGTTGCTCAGTGAACATTCATATAGTCATCATCTAGATGCGAAAATTACATCTTTAAATGGCCTGTTTGATGCTGATGGGTAGCTTTTTTTTTTTTTATTCCACAGCCATAACTGCCAGGGTAGGAAAAATTAGCAAGAAAAAAAAATGAAGAAGACTAGCAACTTGATTAACTTTAGATTTTTTACTTTGATCCAATCAAGGACTTAGTCATCAGTTCCGGGTGTGGTGACATTGTGTGTTTCACCAGCTGTCTTGGGTGACTTCATCCTCCGTGGATGACTTTCCAGGACTATGAGAAATTGAAAAGTCAGCTAACTTTTCCCAGGAACATGAGATTTTGGGGGGCTTAAAAGCACAATTGCCCTATATTAGGCAGTCTCTCAATTAATGATACTCATTCTACTTGGCAAACTGAAAAAAAAACATAGGTTTGAAATTTTTCTTAATAAAATTGGACTGGGGGGAGGAAATGTCAGTGTTTTGGCAATTTAAAAGTTTTTGACCAAATACCCGTATGTGCAGGAAATATTCCTGATTGCGGTTTTTTTGACTTAGTAAAAATTTCCAGTCTACATTTTGGTCCTTTCTTTCAGCCAATGTGGTCAGGTCAACTAAGGCACAGAAAGGCTGTCATGTCAGGTGACTGTCCCAGCAGCGTGACCTGAGTTGTGTGCAGGTATTTCTCCCAAACTACTAAACTGGGTGACTTTACTAATATTTACCTCCACAGATTCAATGAGAGGAACAGGAGTTAAACTCTGACTCCAGCTTCCATAACCCACTCTGGGCTTCAGTTTATCTTAAAATGGGGGAAGTGGTTCCTGAGGTGGTCTTCAAGATCCCAATTAGCTGCCCTTTGATTATGTTCTAAAACACAAATTGATTAGTGTCTTATTTAGGTGATGCTACAAAACAGCACTTCTCATTAAAAACATTAGAAACAACTGGGAAGTTTGTAAACCATCTTGATGCCTAGGCATCTCCCCAGACCAATTAAACCAATCTCTGGGAATAAGACCTGGGCATTGTGTTGGTTAATGTAATAAAAACACAAAAGCGAATAAAGAAAATTGGAGATGCCAAGTGGGTAAACACATTATTCCCTGCATATTATATGTGGCTTTAGATTTTCACATAAACTGCAAAAACGTCAATTTTTCAGATATTTATTGATGTATTTCTTCACACCCTTACTGCAAGGATCATTATCACTGAAGTTCAGTATGAGTCTAATCTAGATCCATTATTAAAGCTTCTATCTTAACAATGAATTCCTAACTTAGTGCTGTTTAGATGTACTAATCTCGCATTGAGTACACTCTTCTTGAAACTCTAACCACTTCTCTCAAAGGGACACTACATGTTGGTTTAGGAGACAGCGGGCACACCTCGAATCAAGGTTCAACACCTCTGACCAGGAAAGGCAGATAGGGGCGCTACCACACAAATCTGGATCCCTCAGCTGTGACACCCAGAGGATTGTGGGGCTTGTAGTTTTCCTTGCATCATTTTTTGCTTCCTGGACTGCATTTCCCAAAATGCAAAAGGAGCCAGCCAGTTGCATCGTCAGACGTAAAGTGTTCCTTAAGGTGTGAAAGGTAAGTGTTCTGTAGGGGCTGCAGGTTTCTAGAAGTTGTGGATTTGTTGTAAGAGATTCCATATTAACTTTTGGCCTTGTAGTAGTACCTGGCAGAGAGCAGCTGTTCCAGTATAGCGGGTTTTCAGCGGGTTCTCCTGAGCCTTTTGGTCTCAGGAATGCAGACTATATTTGTTCAGCAGTTCAAGTGTTGCTGAGGAATGTCTAGAGAAATCGGAGTCCTGAACCCAGATCTGGAAAGCCAGGCATAAAATAATGTTTACATATGGGGTGCATGTCACTAGGGAATTTCTGCCTTATGTTAAGTAATAGGCCAAAGCTTTGTTTGTTAGAAAGCTGGGGTAGAATGTTGCGTTTGCAATCGAGGCTAAACTAAAAGAACATGGGAAAAGTAGAGTAAAAGATGTGTACGTGCTTAGTTACATTAATAAAACCAAAAGCCAGAAAAATCAAAAGCCAGAAAAGTCTGAGCAACAACTTTATCAACACCTGGCATACTAGAATTCAAATATGCTTCTTTAGCTTATGAAGAAATACTTCTGATTTATAAAATGGGAAGTAGGTTTATGGAGCACACTGTTTCCCAAGAGATGGTAGTAGCTAAAATTATAAGTGTATTCCTCGGAGGGAGATGTTGTTAGATCTAGACATAGATGGAATAACAATTCCCTATTAAAAGATAGTGGGACGGGGCGCCTGGGTGGCTTTGTCGGTTAAGCGTCCGACTTTCACTTAGGTCATGATCTCGCGGTTCGTGGGTTCGAGCCCCGCGTCGGGCTCTGTGCTGACTGCCAGCTCAGAGCCTGGAGCCTGTTTCAGAGTCTGTGACTCTCTCTCTCTGACCCTCCCCTGCTCACGCTGTCTCTCTCTCTCTCTCTCTCTCTCTCCTAGAAATAAATAAAACATTAAAGTCCCTTCTACCATTTCATTAAATAAACCAAAGTGTGTACAGTTTCTCTTGGATGCAAAAAGTCTTGGAAGATTCACCAAACATTTTATTTTTTATTTATTTATTTTTTCAACGTTTTTTAATGTTTTATTTATTTCTGAGAGAGAGAGAGAGAGAGAGAGAGAGACAGCGTGAGCAGGAGAGGGTCAGAGAGAGAGGGAGACACAGAATCCGAAGCAGGTCCCAGACTCTGAGCTGTCAGCACAGAGCCCGACGCAGGGCTCGCCCACTGACCGTGAGATCATGACCTGAGCCGAATTCAGACGCTTAACTGACTGAGCCACCCAGATGGCCCTCACCAAACATATTAAATTGTTTCCATCTGATGGCCACATCATAGTAGACCTCTGGTTGTATGTTCTTAAGACGTCAAGAGGACAAGTGGCTTGGGTTGTTATGCAATAGTCCAGTGTGGAGACAAGATTTAATTTTGTGGAAGGTATTAGAAATTCATGACCAAAAGAAATTAGAAAGGGAGCCTTTTAAAAGATATAAAAAGATATAAAAGATATAAAAAGGGAGCCTTGTTGTTTTAGGTTGGACTTCATGGGACTCAGGAAGGCGGGCCGGAATCAGTTTTAACTGGTGACGGTCAGTTGTTACATATCAGGGACTTGTTAGCCAGTTGTTAAGCCATTGGTAGCCTGAAGCTGGCCATGATAGGATTATTTTCTTATATCTTTTTGGGAGGGGATAGTGGGGGAGAAGGTAGTGCACCCCTGGCAAGGGTCAGTTCTCTCTATAAGCCTGGAGCCCCAATGTTCTACACATTCTTGAGTTCTCACATCCTGAGCTAGCTCACACTCTCCCAAATTCTACAAAAGACTGATCTGGATTGCAAAGTAAAATGATTAGAAATACATTCCAGGTGTGGGGCTGGGGGAGGAGGCTGCACCTTTCCAGTGAAAGATATTCTTGTTTATTTGGGGGCCCATCCTTCAAGATACTGAAGTCACTGATTAACTCACTATCAGGAGGTTGTTCAGATAAGCAGCAATCTGCTACCAGAAGTAGTACAGCCTGGATGGAGAGTCTTCTTAGATTATGCAAAAATCTGTACTCCTCTCCAATACATTTTCTTTTTTTTTTTTTTTTTTACAAATAGTTTATTGTCAAATTAGTTTCTACATAACACTCAGTGCTCATCCCCAAAGTGCCCTCCTTCATGCCCATCCCCCCCTCCCCCCCACATCCATCAGTCCTCAGTTTTTGTCAGCATTCAAGAGTCTCTCATGGTTTGCCTCTCTCCCTTTCCCCCACCATTTCCGCCCTTCTTCTCCCCCTTGTTCCTCCGTCAAGTTCCTCCTAATCCTCCTATACGTGCAAACATATGGTATTTGTCCTTCTCTGCCTGACTTATTTCGCTCAGCATAACACCCTCAAGGTCCATCCATGTTGCTACACATGGCCAGATTTCATTGTTTCTCATTGCCATGTAGTATTCCATGGTATAGATAAACCACATCTTCTTGATCCATTCATCTGTTGATGGACACTTAGGCTCTTTCCATGTTTTAGCTATTGTGGAGAGTGCTGCTATGAACATTGGGGTACATGTGCTCCTATGCCTCAGCATTTCTGTATCCCTTGGGTAAATTCCTAGCAGTGCTATTGCTGGGTCATAAGGGAGTTCTATTGTTAGTTTCCTGAGGAACCTCCACACTGTTTTCCAGAGGGGCTGTACCAGTTTACATTCCCACCAACAGTGTAGGAGGGTGCCCGTTTCTCCACATCCTCGCCAGCATCTAGAGTTCTCTGATTTGCTCATTTTAGCCACTCTGACTGGCGTGAGGTGGTATCTCAGTGTGGTTTTGATTTGTATTTCCCTGATGAGGAGGGATGCTGAGCATCGTTTCATGTGTCTGTTGGCCATCTGGATGTCCTCTTTGGAGAAGTGTCTGTTCATGTCTTCTGCCCATTTCTTCACTGGGTTGTTTGTTTTTCGGGCGTGGAGTTTGGTGAGTTCCTTATAGATTCTGGATATTAACCCTTTATCTGATATGTCATTTGCAACTATCTTTTCCCATTCCGTTGGTTGCCTATTAATTTTCTGGGTTGTTTCCTTGGCTGTGCAGAAGCTTTTAATCTTGATGAGGTCCCAACAGTTTATTTTTGCTCTCGATTCCCTTGCTTTTGGGGATGTGTCAAGTAAGAAGTTGCTGCGGTTCTCCAATACATTTTCTAATACCTAGATATTGTCTTCAAGAGGACAATATTGCGTGCAATGCCCACAATTTCCTATTCCCCAGTCATTTCTCAGTATGCTTTCGGCTCTCATCACCTGTCCCATAAATATTTCAGTGTACAACTTTGCTGATTATCAGATACCCTTTGGGTTGGAAGCTTATTGATAAAAATCGAAATCTCACCAGTAACATCCCAAATGCCAGTTAGGGTGGACTATTTTGGGGAAATGACAGTGCTACCCAAGCTTTTCTTTATTTGCACTTCCTTCCTTAGACTTAGTCTATATATTTTTCAGCTAAGCTTAGCCCTTGTTTATCTCTGTACTGTTGATAATCATGTACCCTTGCTTTCATTTTTGCCTAGATCCAGGGCAACATGAGGGAGGTATACTTTTAAGTTACCTACCCTAGTTCACTTTGTACATTTAATTTCTTTTTTTTTAATGTTTTACTTATTTCTGAGAGAGAAAGAGAGAGACAGCGTGAGCAGGGGAGGGCCAGAGAGAGAGGGAGATGCAGAATCTGAAGCAGACTCCAGGCTCTGAGCTAGCTGTCAGCACAGAGCCCGACGGGGGGCTCGAACCCACGAACCGTGAGATCATGACCTGCGCCGAAGTCGGACGCTTAACCAACTGAGCCACCCAGACGCCCCTGTACATTTAATTTCAAATATGTTTTCTCCAAATACTGTATGACTGCTGACCTGGTCCAGATATTACAGTTTTATCTACCTTTAAGGTGAAACATCCCACATTTTAGCTTCTCTTCAAAGTACTCCATTCCTTTTTTTTTTCTCCTCATTTTTGGATAATATCTCTTAAGCCTTTAAAATATTCAAAAGAGATAAGCATTTTACTTTATCTCATGGCTTTTGGCACTTCTGCACTACCGCTGTCCTGGGCACACTAGGACATCTGCAATCCAGACATCCCTCTAAGGAATTAAAACATTATTTTTAATATTTATTTATTTAAAAAATGTTTTTAACGGGGCGCCTGGGTGGCTCAGTTGGTTAAGCGTCCGACTTTCGCTTAGGTCATGATCTCGCGGTTCGCGGGTTCGAGCCCCACATCGGGCTCTGTGCTGACTGCCCGCTCAGAGTCTTGAGCCTGTTTCGGTCTGTGACTCCCTCTCTCTCTCTGACCCTCCCCTGCTCACGCTCTCTCTCTCTCTCTTAGAAATAAATAAAAACATTAAAAAAATGTTTTTAACATTTATTTATTTTTGAGAGACAGAGGGCAAGCAGGGGAGGGGCAGAGACAGAGGGAGACCCAGAAATAGAAGCAGGATCCAGGCTCTGAACTGTGAGCACAGAGCCTGACGTGGGGTTGAACCCACAAACTGTAGATCATGACCTGAGCTGAAGTTGGACGCTCAACCAACTGAGCCCCTAAGGAGTTTTTAAAAAAACTTTTATTGTGGGGGCACCTGGCTGGCTCAGTCGGTAGAGCATGTGACTCTTGATCTCAGGTGGTGAGTTCCAGCCTGACGTTGGGTGTGGAGCCTACTTAAAACATATATAATATACATTTTTATAAATTTTATATATTTTATAAATATATAAAAACATATATATAAATTTTTTAATGTTCTATTTATTATTTTTGAGAGAGACAGACAGAGTGTGAACAAGAGAGGGGCAGAGAGAGAGAGGATCACAGAATCTGAAGCAGGCTCCAGGCTCTGAACTGTCAGCACAGAGCCTAACGCGGGGCTCGAACTCATGAACGGTGAGATTATGACCTGAGCTGAAGTCAGACACTTAACCAACTGAGTCACCCAGGCACTTCTGTTGTTTCTTTTTAAAAGCTTATTTATTTATTTATTCTGAGAAAGAGAGAGAGAGAGCAAGTGGGTAAGGGGCAG